GCCGGCTGGCGGTAATATTTTTTTTGGGTGATTAGTGCATTCCAGTGACATAAACGTACAGTTTCCAGCCAACGGCAAGCTGCAATTGACCGATTGTGTACAATAAACTGACTTTCTGCTTCACAACCACTATTGTACGTTCAAAGAGTTAAATCCATATACACGCCGGGTGGCGGTAATATTTTTTTGGGTGATTAGTGCATTCCAGTGACATAAACGTACAGTTTACAGCCAACGGCAAGCTGCAATTGACCGATTGTGCTAAATAAACTGACTTTCTGCTTCACAACCACTATTGTACGTTCAAAGAGTTAAATCCGGTTTTATTTTTGGGGTGCTTATTGAATTAAAGAGTGTCAGACAACACGCAGAGGAGTGGCAGAGGAGGCAATGTTTCAGGAGCGAGCAGACGTGGCAGCAGAGGAAGGGGTCGAGGCAGCACTAGTCGCAGCCAGAGGCCAGTGCTCCCGGTGTCATCCAGCGGTCGTGTCTCCACCGACAACCCTGCCGTCATCGATTGGTTGACTCGGTCGTCTTCCTCTTCCCAGGTCACCTCTGACACCTACAGCCAACGGTCGGTGGGTACGTCAGACACAACCGTTAGTTGGCATGGCCCGGGAGCAAGCCCACTGAAATCACGTGTCCTCGACCTGCCCCTGTCCTTTGGTGTTCCCTCACCAAGCGAAGTATCGCATGCTGTGGGCTCAGCCCCACTGTACAGTGAGGAAGAGCTAACAGAGGGCGGTCAGGAACGGGGGGAGACATCCGCCCTCTTCAGCAGCCAGGCGAAGAAGTACTGGCGAGGAGAGTGGCTCGGTAGCCGGTCTAGAGAGAAGGTCTGTCTCCTGACCCACACGCAGCCGAGGGGGCTAGTAGTGACGCGAGACCCTAATTGATGATGATGAGGCTGATCGCACTTGGCAGCCTCGTCGTCATCAGGCTATTGCTTCCGCATCATCAGGAGAAGAGGGTGCCAGCTTGCCAGCGAGCAAAACAGTCGGTGGGTTGCCCAGGAGGCAGCAGGGTCGCAGCAGTGTCAGTGGAGCCAAACGGCCACGGAGTAGAGCACCAGCTCCACTGCAGCCTACCACCACGGCCAGTAGTGGTGCCGGTGTGCACGGAGGAAGTAGCAGTCAGCCAGTGAGGAGTAGCGGGGGCAAAGTTTCCTACTCGGCGGTGTGGCAATTTTTCGTCAAGCCGCCCGAGGAAGTAAACGTAGCCGTATGTCGACTATGTGGCCAGAAAGTCAAGCGTGGCCAGGGGGCCAATGTTGGGACTACAGCGTTGCGTCAGCATATGCAGCGTCGCCATTCGGTGGCCTGGGAAAACCGTGATAAAGATACGGCGGTTCTGCCTGCCCCAGCCCCCGCTCCATCACCCGCTCCGTTACTTGCTCCGTCACCCGACGTCAATCGCCCTCTATCAGCCAGTCAAGGCTCCAACACCTCTGCTGAGGGGAGTTGTCGCTCGTTGGCATCTTCCGCTCGTTCAGATGCTCCTTCTCCTGCTACTCCTCTTCACGGATTCCGTCAGCAGTCTTTCTTGGAATCCGTTTCCAAGAGACAACAGTTTGCGAGCACGCACCCGACGGTGCAGAAGCTGAACGTCCTCCTGTCCAAGTTGCTGGTGCTGCAGTCCCTCCCTTTCCAAGTGGTGGACTCAGCACCTTTCCGAGAAATGATGGCTTGTGCCGAGCCGCGGTGGAGAGTGCCAAGCCGGCATTTCTTCGCCAAAAGGCAGTGCCAGCCCTGCATTCACATGTAGAAGAGATGGTGGGCCAGTCTTTGAGCATGTCGGTCTCTGCCAAAGTGACGGCAGCGCCGACGTGTGGAGCTGTAACTACGGTCAGGGACAGTACATGTCATTTACGGCCCACTGGGTGAACGTGGTGCCGGCACAGCCGCACCAGCAACTTGGACAGGTCACGCCGCTTTTGCCTCCACGTTTGCACGTCCTTGGTCCAGCAAAGATGTCCGCCTCTACCACCTCTTCTTCCGCCGTGTCCTCAGCCGCCGCCACCCCCCCCCGTGCCAAGTCCCATTACCCGACCGGCATATCACATGTGCAGGGCGCAACGGTGTCACGCTGTGCTGCACCTGGTATGCCTTGGCGAACGTAGTCACACAGGGGAGGAACTTCTGAGTGTAATGAACAGAGAAATCGACAGATGGCTGTCTCCGCGCAAACTGAAAATCGGAACCATGTTGACCGACAACGGAAAGAACATGGTGTCTGCTCTGCGTCAAGGAAGGTTGTGCCATGCGCCATGCATGGCTCACGTGTTCAATCTGGTTGTCAAGCGGTTCCTAAAATCCACCATCCCACTGCAAGACATCCTTAAAATGTCACGTAAACTTTGCATGCATTTCAGCCATTCCTACACCGCAAAGCACACCCTCCTTGAGCTGCAGCGGCAGAACGGAATTCCACAGCATCGCCTGATCTGCGACGTTGCAACAAGGTGGAATTCAACCCTACATATGTTAGACCGCCTTTACGAACAGCGAAAGGCCATCACCGATTTCCTGATGTTACAAGCGGATAAAGGTACTCCCCTGTGTAACTTAGATGTCAGCCATTGGCAGCTCATGCGTGACACCTGCCGCTTGCTCAGGCCCTTTGAGGAGGCCACGCTATTCGTGAGTCGGCAGGACTATGGGATGAACGACGTCATTCCTCTGTTGCACGTCCTGGAACAAATGCTGTTAACAATGGCTGGTCAGGGTGCGGTAGACGTGGCGCACAGATCTCAACGCCACATGACCCCTGTGGGGGCAGGACAGGAAGAAGAGAGAGGAGGTAGAGGAGGACATTGGTGCTCAGGAATTATTGAGTGAAATGGGTGGTTTTTCCACTCAGCGGACAGGAGTGGAGGAGCAGGAGCATCTGGTAGAGGAGGAGGAGGAGACAGAGGACCCAGACGCACCGTGGCAGTATGCTGTGGAGATGGAGGCAGGGAGTCCCTCGCATTCCTTGGCACAAATGGCCCATAGCATGCTCGGTTGCTTGCGTAGCGACAGCCGAATAATAACCATCAGACAGAGGGATGACTTTTGGCTGTCCACCTTGTTGGACCCTCGCTACCGTTCAAAAATGGTGCCTTTTTCACACCTGCTGAGAGGGAGGCCAAAATAACGTACTATAAAAACCACCTATGTAGTCAGTTGTCTCTGCCTTTCTGCGCCAACGTCCATCCTCAGACACTGTGGGCCCTGTGCGCTCGCGTTCCGCTGCCATGGCAGCAGGGGAGGGGTGGGGTGGTAGGAGCAGGGCAGCTCCACCACAGCGGCTGCCTCAGTCTGCAGTCGATGATGAGTAGCTTTCTTCACCAGCGCAGTGAGGAAACTACTAACCAGCCGCAGCAGCAGCAGCATCAGGTGGACCTGGAGCAGGACCTCAAACAACAGGCTTGGGCCTACTTGGACAGCACCCTGCCAACCGAGGTAGACAATCCCCTTGACTACTGGGCAACGAAACTTGACCTTTGGCCCCAACTAGCTGAATTTGCCCTTGAAAGGCTGTCATGCCCGGCCAGTAGCGTGGCATCGGAGCGCGTGTTTAGTGCGGCAGGAGGTATTGTAACTCCGCGGAGGACACGACTGTCCACCCAAAGTGTGGAGAGACTCACGTTTGTGAAAATGAATCAGGCGTGGATTAGTCTGGATTTCAAACCACCAGTTCCTGACACAACTGACTAAATCCGCCATGAATCATGCCCCAAACATGTTATTAGGGACAAATGGAAGACCTCCACCTGATCCGTACATTTGTATATATATTTTATTGAGAGGCTGCTGGTCGGCCGACTCATGTTTTGCACATTTTTAATGACTTATACTCTGCAGGTCGGGCCCCTCATGAATTGGGGTTTTTAAATTATTTATACTTCGCTGGACGACCGTCACATGAATTGAACCTTTTTAATGACTTATACTCTGCTGGTCGGGCCCCATCATGAATTGGTGTTTTTAAATTATTTATACGTCGCTGGACGACTGTCACATGAATTTAAACTTTTTAATTATTTATAGTCGACCAGTTCCAGACCAATGGAATAGCAATTTTTTTAAATATTTTTTTGACACGTGTTGTCCATCTCATCAATGAGGTGGACTGTTTATTTATTGGCCACGGTTTAGCCCCCTCCTGTTTCTTACATTGTTAACTTGTTGTATCGGTCACGGTTTGGCCACATGTTTGGTTGTCTTGTTAAGATTTTCTGTAATGTACACAGTTACGCTTGATTTGTCGACTTTCCACAATCTACTAAGGTATAGCATCGCATCAAAGTTTTTTTTTTTTTTTTTTTGGTCTAAACCATTTCTTATAATGTCAATTTGTAGGATACGCCGCTGTAAGGCGACCTACTTTTTTGTCACTGTGTAGACATCTATTTATAGGCCGATGTTTGGCCAGAAAGATATATTTAGTAGTAATAACCTAGCCGTTCAAGCCGCTCACTGAACACCTCGGGAATTGCTTTGTATATCTGTCGCCTTAGGGGCCGCTGTCTGGCGTCATAATTTTTTGTCACTGTGTAGACATCTATTTATAGGCCGATGTTTGGCCACAAAAATATATTTAGTAATAACCTAGCCGTTCAGGCCGCTCCCTGAACACCTCGGGAATTGCTTTGTATATCTGTCGCCTTAGAGGCCGCTGTCTGAACAGCTCATGAATTGCTTTCTATATGTGTCGCCTTTGAGGCCGCTGGCTGGACAGCTGATGAATTGATTTGTATATATGTACTTATTGTCCGCTGTCCGGACAGCTCATGAATTACTTTTTGTATATAGCCTTCCAAACCACTCTCAGAATAAGTCATGATATTCATGCTGTGTATAGCCTTATAGGCCAATGGTCAATCAAGTCATGATTGTTATAGTGTGTATAGCCTTATAGGCCGCTGTCTTTACAACTTTATAATTCCATGCAGTATATAGCCCTATCGGCCACTTTCTGGCATCCAGTTGCTGTAGCCCCCATCACCACACTGTGCCACGGGCCCCTGTACCGCCTTCCTTCTCTATACTGCTGCCAGATCCATCCTCTGCCATGTGCGTCTTTGTCGTCTGCTCACGCTGCTGGGTTCCAGTTTTAAACCTAGGCCTGTGTATGGCTTCCGAATACTGCTGCCTCCACCGCCACCCTGCGCCATGTGCCTCTGTCGTCTGCTCACGCTGCTGACGGCTTCCGCTTTTTAACCTAGGCCTGTGTATGGCTTCCGAATACTGCTGCCTCCACCGCCACCCTGCGCCATGTGCCTCTGTGTCTGCTGCTCACGCTGCTGACGGCTTCCGCTTTTTAAACTAGTCCTGTGTATGTCTTCCGAATACTGCTGCCTCCACCGCCACCCTGCGCCATGTGCCACTTTCGGGTCTCCTCACACTGCTGCCAGGTCCATACTGATTCATGGCCCCCTGTACCGGCTCCTCATGAACGTGGTTCAGTGGGTTTGCATCGCTTAACGGCAAATCGTTGACAAACGCTGGGATGTTCAGTGTTGTGTGCATTAAGCCAGACACCAAAGGGCAGCACAGACCTGTTATTACTCGCTCAAGCATGGCTGAACAAAACCAGTCTCTACCACAAATTGGACCCAGACCTGCCCAGGGTCTCGTAAGTAGATTGCACGGAGGCGTAGAGTTCGTTATTGGAATTAACTGTGAGGGACTTTTAAAACCTAGGCCTGTGTATGGCCTTCAATTGAAGCTGCTTCTGCTCCGCCACTCTGCCATTGGACTCTTGATAGTCGTCTCCCCACGCTGCTGCTGAGGGGACTTTTTAACATAGGCCTCTGTATGGCCTTCAATTGTAGCTGCTTACGCTCCGCCACTCTGCCATGGGCCCCTGTACCGACTCCTCATGCTGCTGCCAGGCCCGTAATCTGTCATGGGCCCCTGTACCGCCTCCTCATGCTGCTGCCAGGTCCAGAGTGTGTCATGGGTCCCTGTACGGCCTCCCATTGCTGCTGTCTCCATCGCCACACTCTGCCATGTGCCACTTTCAGGTCTCCTCACACTGCTGGTGGGTTCCATTTTGTCATAGGGTGCTGTATGGCCTCCCATTGCTGCTGCCTCCACCGCCACACTGTGGCTCCACACTCTGGTTTTGGCCCCGTGACTGCCCAAATGAGTGAAGTGTGCGGTGATTCTAAGATCGACGGCACTCATCTGCATGTCATACTGACTGACAGTATTATTTCTCTTCCCCAGCAGACTCCAAGGGCATTTAAATTAAAGGTACAGTGTTCTGCACTAATATAAAGGCTCTCTGAAGCCTAGAAACACCCTTTTTATAAGTTAAATTCGCAGCGAATATATTCGGCTCAAAGCGAATTTATTCGGCGAATTCGGCGAATCAGCCGAACCAAATTTTTGAATAATTCGCTCATCTCTAATAATCAGCTAATTAAGCCATAACAGCTGCAAAGGGTTCCTGAGCCTTTAAATGGTCTCTCAGTCTGGTTCAATAGGAATCACAATCATAGGAAAGACTGCTGACCTGACAGTTGTGCAGAAAACCATCATTGACACCCTCCATAAGGAGGGAAAGCCTCAACAGGTAATTGCAAAAGAAGTTGGATGTTCCCAAAGTGCTGTATCAAAGCACATTAATAGAAAGTTATGTGGAAGGGAAAAGTGTGGAAGAAAAAGTGCACAAGCAGCAGGGATGACCGCAGACTGGAGAGGATTGTCAGGGAAAGGCCATTCAAAACTGTTGGGGACTTTCACAAGGAGTGGACTGAGGCTGGAGTCAGTGCATCAAGAGCCCTCACACACAGATGGATCCTGGACATGGGCTTCAAATGTCGTATTCCTCTTGTCAAGCCGCTCCTGAACAACAAACAATGCCAGAAGCGTCTTACTTGGGCTAAAGAAAAACAAACCTGGTCTGTTGCTCAGTGGTCCAAAATCCTCTTTTCTGATGAGAGCAACTTTTGCATCTCATTTAGAAACCAAGGACCCAGAGTATGGAGGAAGAATGGAGAGGCACACACTGCAAGATGCTTGAAGTCCAGTGTGAAGTTTCCACAGTCTGTGTTGATTTGGGGAGCCATGTCATCTGCTGGTGTTGGTCCACTGTGCTTCATTAAGTCCAGGGTCAATGCAGCCGTCTACCAGGAGATTTTGAAGCACTTCATGCTTCCTTCCGCAGACGAGCTTTATGGGGATGCTGACTTCATTTTCCAGCAGGACTTGGCACCTGCCCACACTGCCAAAAGCACCAAAACCTGGTTCAATGACCGTGGGATTACTGTGCTTGATTGGCCAGCAAACTCGCCTGACCTGAACCCCATAGAGAATTGATGGGGCATTGCCAAGAGAAAGATGAGAGACATGAGACCGAACAATGCAGAAGAGTTGAAGGCCGCTATTGAAGCATCCTGGTCTTCCATAACATCTCAGCAGTGCCACAGGCTGATAGCTTCCATGCCACTCCGCATTGAGGCAGTAATTGCTCAAACCAAGTACTGAGTACATATGCATGCTTATACTTTTCAGAGGTCCAATATTGTTCTATGTACAATCCTTGTTTTATTGATTGCATGTAATATTCTCATTTTCTGAGATTGTGGATTTGGGGTTTTCATGAGCTGTAAGCCATAATCATCACAATTCTGACAAATCACGGCTTGAACTATCTTGCTTTGTATGTAATGAGTCTATCTCATATATTAGTTTCGCCTTTTAAGTTGCATTACTGAAATAAATGAACTCTTGCACGATATTCTAATTTTTCGAGTTTCACCTGTATTTAGGATCTTCCGCTGTTTACAAATGGTAGATCACCAGATTAGCTCTTCTGCCCCAATCTCCGTTGGTATTTGAAGGTGTAACAGTAGATTGTAAAAGGAAGGTTGTTAACTCAACAACCTTGATTATGACATTGTTATGTCAGTATAGAAATTAAAAGCTAGAAATGAGGAAGAGGTAAGCCTGAGCTTATTCAGGGGAAATTAAAAACTTTGGCCAGGTAATCATGTAGGTATACCTCCCAACTTTTGAACTTCAGAATAGGGACACTTGAAGGAGGAAGTGAACTGCAGCATGCATAGCGCGGCATAGCAAAAACGGGTGTGGTCAAATGCTTAACAGCGGGAGGGGTCTAAGGGGCGTGGTTAAACAAAACCTTCCGACCTTCCTTGTGTCTATGCCTTGATTGCTGTGCCACAAGCAAGAGTCTCACGGACAATAATTTACAAAAAAAAAAAAATTCCATCACAAATGGTTTTGCACAAACTGTGGAAGAGTGGGTTACACAAAGTGTGGAAGTATTCAGCAATGCATTATGCACAGAGTGCAGGATTCAAGATTGCGTGTCATACAGAGCGCAGGATTCAGGAATGCATTACGTACAGAGTGCAAGGTTCAGGAGTGCGTTTCATACAGAGTGCAGGATTAAGGGATGTGTTACATGCAGAATGCAAGGTTCAGAAGTTGGTTAAACCGCAAAGACGCCAATTAAACATTCACTTACGTTCTAAAATCTTGATTAACAGCATACAGGAGCTGGGCCAAGAATGCAGGCATCAGTTGGATAAACAAAAGGAGTGCAACTGAGAAGGACCTGCAGAAGTGTGAACATCTAGCACAGCCAGGGACTGGGGAACAAGCTGGCGGGGGTACGGCTGCAAGTGCAGCTGTCAAGTCCAACCTGTGATTTCGAGGGTGGGCAGGTCCGGTATGCATTTCAGGGCTCCGCCCCTTTTTAAAAACAACCCGTTCATAGGGAAACAGCCGGAGATTACACGGTGCCAACCGGGAAAAAGGTGGCAAGGGGTAGGACCAATTGTAACTACTGCATGTGCACTCGCATCAGTGTATAATTCAATCCTGCCCTTGTCACTCTCTTCCTTGGCCAGCAATGTATAAATACCGGCTGTTTGTGCAGTGTTTGCTTGACAAAGGGGGCAGAAAACGCATATCGGCCCCGCCCATCCCAGACATAACAGGTTGGGGTTGACAGCTGCACGCTATCTCATTGTGACTGCAAACCTTGTCTTTCCCGCCAGTCGCTGGCTGTGCTAGATGTTCACACTGCTGCAGGTCCTGCTCAGCTGGAAGTTAGCATATAAAGAAGAGATAGAATAATGCGCGACACAGCCCCTGTACATCGGGACCGTGGGACAAACGTGAAAATGCAGTAAATCCGGGACTGTTGGGAGGTATGTGTAGGTGAATGCTCATTTACTCACCATGCTCAAATGGCGGGCAGGCCACGTTTAACTCCTTTTCCTACATGCCCAAGAAAGATACATTTCTGAGCTTCCCTCCCTCAGCAACAAAGAGGCTACACCTGAAGAGGCAGAAGTAGCTGGGCAAGTGATCTGCAGGCAAAACTAGTGTGCAGGGAACTTGGTCTAGTGCCTAATGGCACGCAGTTTCTCTGGAAGACCCAGCTACTGTGAGGAGCCTCTCCACAATTACTGCCAGTGTACTGCAGTTTCAGTGGGGTGGCCATTTGTCCATGGACCTGGGATCTTTCCAGCTGTTCACCTCTATTACTAGAGCTACCCTGGATTCACTGTGAGGGATGCTGTCTATTAGGATAAATGCAAGTAGCTGTGTTCTGGGCTCTTTTACTGAATTAGTGATTCTCAGCTAGACTCTCTGTTATTATAGAGTCTTATACAGACTAAGGGGGTGATTTACTAAAACTAGAGAGTGCAAAGTCTGGTGCAGCTGTGCATGTTAGCCAGTCAGCTTCTAACTTCAGTTTGTTCAATTTAGCTTTGACAAAAAAAAAAACCTGGAAGACAATTGGTTTCTGTGCAGCACTGCACCAGACTTTGCATTCTCGAGTCTTGGTAAATCAACCCCTATGTAACGCAATCATATGTTACCCTGATTGAACCATACAGGCATTGCTGTGAAGAGTCCATGTTTGTGGACCTTTGTTTAGCTTTCATTATTTTGCATTGTATGCATGGTTTCTGCCACCCTGAACTTATTTAGCATCATTACTCTTAACCAGGGCTTATTTCTCAGAAAATAGGTGCAGGAACTCAACCATAACCCACGTCCCTCCCCACAAACACACTCCAAACCACATCAAATTTCACTAAAGCCTAGTACACACTATCATTTTTTTTTTTCGTACAATCCAGCAGGCTGAACAAAAAAAAAAAAAAAAACACTGAAGAGCTTGGAGGAGATCTTGTACTAACAATTTGATGTTAGTACAGTGATCTCCCTGCTGAACTATTGTGTTCTGACGGGAGGAGGATGGCCCCCTCACCAGAAGACAGGTCAGGGCTCAGCCATTGGCTGAGAGTGCTGACCAGATGCCAATTGACAGATCTTTTTCAGTCATGCCCCTTCGACAGAAGCCAGACATTTAGCCAGCTTCTGGCGGACCAGCTGCCATACACACGGGCCAAATTTCAGCCGGTTAAATAGAAACCTTCCAATCTTTGGCCTTTGTTTATGGGGCTTTACAGTAGTAGAGTTTGAAAGGAGCATTAAATACGAGTAGTGTATTATGTACAGAATGCAGAATTTGGGGGGTTACACACAGAGTGCATAGTTCAGGGGTGTGCTATGTACATCATCAGCTCTGACCTCTACATGCAACTCCCCTCCACTGCTCCCATTTTCTTCCCCCTCCTTAAATGCTCCACCATCTTCCATATGTCTTACTTTTGTTGCTGTATTAAGCTGAAACACCTGGCAGGCTCCAGTACCTCCCCACACACTGCAGGGAGATCATCCAGTGGGGGTGTCGGCATCCTCGCTGCACCCCGGGCACCTGCAACTCCCTTGTCCCGATCCTGCACTCAGTGGGAGCCGCTCAGGGGATCAGATCTGTGGCAGCCTTTGGGAGACATGCTGTCACTTGTAAACAAGGAAGCCAGACTTCTGTGTTTACAAGTGATAGTAATGAGCATGGATCAGAGGGCCTGAGCCAGAGGTGGTGGAACAGAGTTCCAGCTGAAAAAAGCTCTGCTTCTAACCTTGCATCATTTTAGTCAACTGCAAGTTGCAGTTACTCTCTATCGGTTTCTTTGGGCGATCCTGTCACAACAGTTACACAATGCAAGTAACTCCCAGAGAATCCCTGTAAAATAAGTGTTTTTTTAGATCATGTTAGGCATAGTATTACTAATTGAAGTATGGTATACTATAGCTGCTGCAGAACATTCTTTTATAGCAGTGAGGCTAGAATTCAAAAAGTTCCAACAGCATATATAAATATAGGGCATTATGCAAATAAAAAAAGTCTGCTTACAATAGCGCCACATCCCCTATGGACAGACTGAACT